GGCTGTAGGCGATTGAAAAGACGGTGGGTTGTAGGACAGCATCGTCGTACTTTGAAATCCGAGTGCCATCGAGGTCATAGCAGTCGATTTCACCGCGCTCTCTATCCGCGGCGCAGATCTGTTCAATGCCTTTCTGGGCTCCATGCCCGGCCTCTTCGGGCGAAATGATTGTGAGGCTGTGGACGATCTGGAAACCTTGGTCTCGATCACGATCTTTAACCGCCCGACCGCCAACTCCCCAGGAGGTAATGTACTCACCGTCGGCCGAAAATTTAACGATTCTCTGGTTGCAGTACCCATCCGCAACGAATACTTCACCCTGGAAGATAAAATTCAACGAAAAGGAGTGGTAAATAGATAAGAAGCAGCAAGGCGTCAGTCATGGTTAATAAGGTAAAACAACCTAGCTGTGCAGTGAAAGGCAGATTAAATAGTTATATCCGTGGAAGCTAGGAAGTTCACCGCTATAACTGAATGCCTTTAGGTTTAACCAGACCGTTGCAGCATCTGACATATGTAGTTATTCATACTTTCACCACTTTCATGTACTTATGTATGGCCGAAACCATGGACAAAGAACACGTCTAGTAGACTGACGAGTCTTTGCGTTGAATTTAATGTTCACTGGCTCCTTGAAATTGGGTTCAAACCTCCGATACGCCTAGTGCGTTCCATAGAAATATCATTGCAGAAGAAGGCTGGTGGAGACACGAACGGTGGCATGACGAGAATTTATCGGAAGTATACGTACGCTCGCCAAACTAGTCTTCTGAACTCGTTTATTATTCTGAGCTGTCGAACTCGCGCAGAAATCCGTCTTCAGAGTTAGTAACAGGAACATAAAAAGTCTACAATTACAAAGGTTAGAAGCAAATCTATAATGAAGTATTCAAGGCTGCAGCTGACTGCACAGGGTTCTGTACGCCGGCGCCAGATCTATAAAATGATCGATCGAGTTCCCATTCGAAGGCCAGACTGCAATCAATTCTCGCCTAGCCTTGGTGCTAGTATGAATGATTATCTTGACGGCTCAACCGGCCTTCTGCCTTACTCGTACAAAAACTTAGAGTTCGAACAATCACATCCATGCGTGGATTGAGATATTGCTGACCGGCGATCACTAATAGGCTAAAAATGACTATATCATAGTAACTGATCTTTGTCTTTATCACACCTGGATGACTGATTACTCGTTGTTACGCAACAGCTTTGATGGATTCTAAATCTGGAGCTCAAAAGAAAAACTCGAATGTCCATTTTCACCGAGAAACCAGGATATACCGGCAAGCGCCAGTCTTGGAATAAATTCTAGATTAGAGTTTTGCGTGCACGCAATGACTAGCAATTCAAATAATCCGTGCACACAGGCTAAACACGCCCATCTCTACTCATCTCTACCACCACACACAAGCCGGATCAAAATGGAGAAAGATCTTGAATTTCATCCATATTAAAGTACCGTCCCCTTTTCCAGAGCAGAAGTTAGTTACTCTGTAATTTGGGAACCTTTCAAGCTAGGATCTAAACGCATCATGGTGGTTTCAATTTATTAGACTTTAAGTTGCAAAAATTCACATCAGAAGATTCCGAAAGATACCTAGCCAACATAGGCGATCCTTCAATAAAGTATCATCGAGCCAGTACATTTACCATACTGATGAATGCGCCGTAGTTCACTAATGCCTCGCTATCGGCCTAGACTCCTTTCATTCCTGCGATACACGATTAGTCTGTGTGAAACTGACATGCAGCTGGAGGGGGGAGAGTGGGCGTTGG